CCTATGTCAACCCCATGCCCAGCCAATCAGCTGCTGAGAAAATAAAAAGCATTTTTTCACTGCTTGAGTTGATCTTGGTCACCTTGTAACACATGCAGATGCCCAGGCAGGTGGGGACCATGTCTGCCCTGTCCTGCCCTGGACCCCCAGAGGCCAGCACAGGGCTAGTGCCCCACAGAGAGGACGCAGGGTGTGGTGCAGAGTGGTGTGTAAGTGGAGGCACACACAGGAGACCACAGGACAAGAGGCTAGAAGGGTCAGGAAGGCCACCTGGGTGGAGTGACAGTCACATCTCAAGGCAGGGAGAAGAGTTATTCACAGTAAAGGGTAAAGAAAAAGGAGGAGCTTCAGGCAGTTTCAGCCTCGAGAAGCCCAGAGGCAGGACGCAGCATGAAGTGGAGAGACCTGGAGGGGCAGGGAGGCTGGGGTCCGGGCTCCAGGGGCGGCCAGAGGGAAAGCCCCCAGTACGCACCAGCATGGCCAGCAAAGTCAGGACCCGAGGGCTCCCGGTGACACACAGCCTGGACGTTGACAGCAGCCACTGGTGGGGTGGGCTGTGTGGGCAGGCTGTGAGGTGGCGGAGACCCCATGGGAGGCAGGGAGACCACCCAGGCTGAGCACTGGACACAGGGGTGGGATGGAGTGGCCAAGGGCTCTCTGTCTGGGTGTTCAGGTTGCATTTGGGGTCAGGGTGGGGAAGGCAGGAAACGGAGGCTACTTCTGGGTTCCCAGCGGGAGCTGCCTGAGCTCAGGGTGAGCAAAGCCTCTCCTCAGGAGGCCAGTTTCCCTGGAAGCCTCTGGGAGTCCAGCCTGTTGACCTGGTTCGCAGCAGGCAGCGGGCTGATCCCAAACAGAAGGAATGCTGTCCAGGTCTGGAGGTGTTTCCCTGGGGAGCGTCAGGCCAGTGCTGCGGCTTGGCCATGGCCAGTCTGGCTTCAGGGATGGGGCCGACGTGAGACCAGGGACCTGGACAAGCTTCACAGACCAGGGCTCCTGGAGGAGCCTTCCTTGGGTCCTTTGAGGGCCTGCTGTGGGGGCGCAGATTCTCACTGGCTGAATGGGACCCTCCTGGATTTAACCTGGTGACAGTCCCCAGTCACGAGGGTGTGCAGCCAGAAGTTCACTGCATGCGGAGTGTTAGCGCCTGCGTCCAGCAGATTCAGGAAAGTCAGCACCAGGGATGTCTAGAACACCAACGACAGCGTCCACTCTTGGGGGCCTCAGGGCAGCTGGCTGAGAACACCCAGGGGCACTGGCATTGGAGGAGCTGGCCTGACCTGGCATTAACCCACAACCCCACCACGGCTCTGCTTTTTAACTAGAGGACAGGCCCTAGATAAAACTGCCCACGGACTGTGGTCCCACTGATTTTCCTGGAGGGAAAAGGAAGGTGGTGGCACGGGAGGCTTGACCTGTGGCCTTGGAAAGCTGTCCAGGTCAGGGATGCCGTCTGCCTGGAGAACCCGCTGCTCTGCTGTGCTCTAGTTCTCCTACGGGGCCCTACGGAACCGCGGGACTGGACGGGTCCAAGCCCTTGAGGTCGTACCAACGTGGGTGGTGGGCACAGCCCCCATCAGGGATCAGGGAACCTGTCCCAGATGCTGTTTCAAGAGGACCCCCCAGGGTTCCCGACCACGGATGGTTGTGGCTCAGTGGGTGGGTCACAGAGGCTTCCTGGTGAAGGACACTGTGTCACCTCCGAAGCCTGGCGGCTTGCATCCTAACAGGGTCACAGGCTTCCCAGGGACCCCACACAAGGGGCCGATCTGTGTTGTCCAGCAGGAGTGACCTGATTGTCACTAATACCTGTGGCCATGGAAAGCCAGTCGAGTCAGGTGACTTTGCCAGTTTGGGCCTTCAAAAGTCGTGTGTCTTTCTGACCTCTCAGAAGACTGAGTGCTGCAGTCGGTAGAGGCACCTGCGTCTATGTTGAGAGCCACAGCCAAAGGGGCCCCAGAAAACTTCCAGCTGCCCGCAAACTTCCAGCTGCCAGCTGATGATTGGCTCACAGCGGCCCCAGCAACATCTAGCTGATTGGCTCCTC